AATAGTCTACTGCACATTAAGCATCACTAAAAAAGCGTGCAAATGTGCTACTGTGTATTAGTGCAGCCTAATGCACATGAATTTAGTACCTCACATTTGAAGGTACTAAATTTAATGAGCATTAGAAAAGGTATATTAATACACGTGTAGACACCCCCAGAGAGAAGGAAAAAGGAAGAGAGAGAGAGAGAAGGAAGAGCACAAAAAAAAGCATGGTTAGAGAAAGCTGAACATGAAAGTGTTAAATAACTCTATAACACTTGGGATGGGATAAAAGAGATGGACTGATGGGGAGGAAAGGAGAAAAAAAGCAAATATTTTGCTGCTGACACAGAGCAGCCAAACCCCTTGGGTTAGCCCTGACTGTAATGAAAAAGAAATGAATGAAACACGCTGCTAACCTAAGAACTCCTCCTCTGTAGTAAGAAAGGATGAGTTCACTAATCATGCCTTAGAACAGATGAAAATGGGACACTAATCTTCTGATACTGATGAATCACTGTGTCCATAAACCAGCCAAACAGTGCTTGGAGGTAACTTGGACAATAAGAATGAACTAAATCCACTGACATGTGCTCCCTCAGTGAATAAAAGGTATTAAAAAAAACCATTCCACAACATCTGACTGAAGCTAGTGAGAATCTCAGCCCAGAGAGGTCTTCTGCATTTGAGGTCTTTCACTGTTCAAATGGAAGCGAACTAAAATGAGAACTCCTCCAAAATATGGCTTTGTTCTCAGCCTGTTTACAGTATGCAGGACAGGGACCGTCCAGGCTTTTGTAGGATAGAGATTCTGTAGGATAACACATCTTCTGCATCCTTGTCAGAGCAAAATCATGGGGTTTTTTTCTTATTGACACATAGAAGGGGAAAATAAAAACAAGAAGATAAAGAAGACAATATTATGGGCCTGATATTTCTCCCATTTGTACTGGTTTTATATTATGTACAGGAATGATTTGCGCTAATGAGATAAGAAAATCAGGTTACACTTCTTTTCAACATACGCAATCAGTTTTTAACAGTACATATTTTAAAGTACATAAAGATACAGGTTTTACTTTCAGTGTCTTGGGTAATTATCTATGGTGCACACATACCTTGCAGGCTCACTCTGGAAACTGGTGGCTGACTTGTGGCAGGAGACCTCCTGTGGAGGAATAAAGAATACTCTATATTAATAGGTTTTTATTGCTTCAAATTTATTGTTCATATCATTGCAAAATCTCTCACTGCCTACCCCCACAGTCTGAAATCCCTTTCATGCTTAGTGAGAATCCCAAATTACTTCAAAGTGAAATGAGTGCTTAGTGGACAGTTTGCCAGCTGCTTCCAATTTAAAGAAAATCTATTCATCTCACGTCTTCTGGGCCAGAGTCCATAAATTATGTAAAAACATGTTGTTTCCAAAAGATACAACTACCATTTTCCCTCACATAAAGAGAAACCTGAGGGTCCCTTTGACCCATGGAGCGCTGAATTCCAGGTCCCTCTCCTGAAAATGCCTTTTCTCCCACTATTTGGACATAAAGACCTTAAGGTAATCTTAACTGCTACAGCACAGCACAGGGTGACATATATAATATCCAGGCTCATTACTGACACCTTTAGCTGTACCTCGAAGCAAACAGGGAGACAGTGCATTCATTAGAGCACTGTGCAATATGCTCTCTGAAACAGAGCTGCATGGCGTTTTTTTGACAACTCATACATTTGTCCTCAAAAAAAGTTACAGAGGAAATAAAATCTGTTTGTGAAATCTGGATGAATTCAGCAAACTGTTTTTCTAAAAAAATGAAAGAAAAATATGCCACAAAATGATTTAATTAGCGTAAGAATCAAATGTTAAAAAATTAAATAAATATATATACACACACACACATACATATACACGCATGCGCGCGCGTGCACACACATACACACACACACACATATATTTTAAATTCTCTTTGCCTGTTATTTTCTGGCCTCTAGAATTCACATTTTCAAGTTTTTCTCCACAACTTAAATGAGATAAACCTTATTTTTCTAAACTGAAAGTCAAGATTCACTATAAGACATTTGCCCAGGCAATGAAAGACACTTCTGACCAAATATCTGCACCCTGTACAAATTCAGTTAGTTGTCAAATCTTTGACATTTTTGGATTGTTCAAAAAATTATCTGCAATTTTTTTAATGTCCTATTTTGCACTATCTTCAGCCTTAAAAATGGTGGATTACTATTTGATGGAAACGCTAAATAAAAAAAATTCTCAAGAAGAAACCAGAACCTAGAAATTTCAAGCTGAAAAAGTGAAGCTTTCATATTTATATGTAATCTGAAATAGGGTATTGTAGCTAAACATGTTAGCCAGTCTTTGTACTTACTATACCTGTTAAAATAGACAATTTCAAGGAAAAAAATTCCAAGATTTTATCAGACAGCAATTTTAAATTATATTTTGTGGTTCACATTACTGGCTACTCTAGGAATGATTAATGGTGGGTTCACATAAAGTGACTTTTTCAAAGCAAAACATAGAAACATGTAACTACTTTGATCAGTGCAATATATATTAACAGTTGAGAACAAGGGTGTAAACAGAACATTTTACTTGGTTTTAATATTTTCTCCTGAACACCAGAAGAATTTCTTAAATAAAAACCAATCTTCTGACCAAACTTGCTATAAAATTAAGTGTATGGCTCATATGAAACAATGTAAATAATTACATAATCAAATAAAAAAATGGATATTAAGGACTTTTATTTTTCTCAGCATAAAATCAGCTGTCATCTGAAGTAGGAAATACTCAAGTAAAATGATTGCATTGTTTAGCTCTGTGATGACTATTTGTTCAGGCTCTGCTGTTCCCATACAACTTTGGACCTATAGCTGTTGGAAGAGGCATACTTGTGTGCTGGCATCTAAGAGTGCTGACAGACATAGAAGGGAAAAACCCCCAGCACTTTACCGAAAGAGGAATCACATCAGTTGGCCTGGCTCTCCAGCATCTGTATAGCTTGTGTACTTCAGCAGGGCTTTTGAGCGCTTCTATCTAATAGCTGGTTGAATCACCAAAAAGCCCGCTGAAGTGTGCGAGCTATACAGATGCTGGGCAAGCCTGGTCAAACTGATGTGATTCCTCTTCTGGGCACAACCTGTGGTGCAGGGGCGCACCAAGCTGAAAGTAAAACACTTTTGGGCTTTTTTTCAGGTCTGTAAGCACCCTAACACAGCTGAAAGCATAGGTTAGTACTATAGGTTAATCAAACCTGTATGGTCTGATATAGCACCAAGTCTGGAAAATCCAAGGTGGAAAAGGGAAAGAAAAAGTAAGAGTTCTTTTAAATCCCTCTGTAATACCATTTACGTATGTTTAGGTCCATATTTCTGTTTTCTGGTACAATTGCTCAACCAGAAGTGGAAAACAGCTGGTGTGAGCAGAAGGTACCAGGGCCATCTTCCAGTGTACGGTTCTTTCTTTTCCCAAAGAAAATGGAGAGCAGCATCACTTCCTTGACCACTGTCCAACTAGCCATAAATCATTAAGCCAATCACTCACCCCTTTCACAATGCTCAACATCACTTACCCACCTGACCCTTGGTCCACATTCCTACTGCTGTATTCCTCTCCTGTCCCATTTATGCCCTTCATACAGCCCTCCTCGCCCAAGAAATTCTGCCCCAGGGACCAAGGCATTCATTTGTTCCACTCTCCTTGAGGTCAGGATCCCTTATAAGTAGGGCAGCTTGAGGAAAGTTTATTTTCTCTCCAAAAAAGAAGAGAGAGGAGGGCCTGGGTTTAGGCTGTGGTAGCTTGGAACGCAGTCAGCGCACCTCAGGTGCTTCAATGTATGTGCCTCTCCCCCTTCTCAAAAGGCCAGGCTTTTCCCATGGTAGGGCTGTGCAAAATGGCTATGTTTCATTCTGTTTTGGATTTGGCCATTTCACAAGGACACAGATCCTGGGGCCTGTGCCCCCCGGGAAGAGCCCAGCACAGCTCCACTGCCCTCCCAGGGGGCGTGGGCCCCCGGATCTGTGTGCAGGATGACAGCATGCTGCTGCAGCAGGCTGGGGCCAGCACCAGCAGTGGGTTCCTTCCTGGCGCTCAGTGTGGGCTGCACCAGGCAGACTGGGGTGCTGGCACTGGCCTGAAAAGAAACGGCAGCCAAAATTTCGCACAGCCCTACGTGGTAGCATAAGTAATGAGGTTTTTTTTCTCAGTGAGGGTACAAGAAAAGCATTCCAAGAGGCCTGTGCTGAAAAAGCCACTCCAGTGCCCTCTGTTGCTGCCAGAAACCATGGGCAGCCACTTTTGAAAAAAAAGAAATAATTTAGGTCCTGCTATGTGTTGTACTATGTTGCTATCGGTTAATGACTGAAGAGTCATCCGTACCTGTACTAGTACCTGGGATTTAAACTGCATGTGTTGGGGAAGTGAATGGACACATTCCCCTCTATTACATCTGGACTCAACAGTGGTAGTACACAGGTTACTCCGCTTGTTCCCTAGGCCTAAGTAAATACAAACAATCAAAAAGCCCGAGGCTGAATCAATTCAGTCTTTGCAGGTTAGTCTAAGCTGTATAGGTTGAACCAATAAGCGAGTGAAAAGACATTCACGTTTGACTCTGGAAATGCAGCTACATTCCTCCAGTGACCTGGGCCAGAAGCTGGGGGATGCTAGAGCATGCATCCTTGCTCAGCTGGAGCAGACAGCTTAGGCCAAGGCTAGTCCACCCACCCTACAAGGGGGAGAGGGAGTTGTGGGGGAAGTGCAAAGCATCCTGGGATGGTGGGATACTGTGAGTTAACTTGAATCTGGAGGGGATCTGGGACAGAAGTTCAATAAATCAATTCAACTTAAATGAGTTAAGTTTAATACTACATCCATCCAGGTTTATCTTAAACTGGCTTTGACCATTTTGAAAGTGTACACTGAATTTCTGTTACGTTACAGGCTTGAATTGGTTTGTCATCGTTTTTACCAATGTATGAGTAATTTCTATTCCTAGCCTAGGTGTGCCTGGGCTACCCAGCTCTTGAACCACTTTCCCTCCTTCCTATGGCAGTAGTGGGTGCAATACTCCAAGGCTGCTCTTTTCATCCAGGGAAAAGGATCCAGCAGCGTCAGGAGCAGTTCTTTCCTTGATCCTCTTCAGCTTATTCACCTGGTCCCAATTCCTACACTTCCTGAGCAAGCAGAAGTATGTACATGCAAAAAAAGTGAAATAAAGGAAAGCTAGCTGATCTGCCTGAGAGGATGCAGAAGACATGGTCAAGGATGAGATACAATGAGAGGGAAAAGACTTCATAAAGTTCTGAGGAACTTTCTTTTCATACCCAAACTTTTGAAGACTTAATTGCTCCAAGCCCTGGAACTATTTACATGTTATTCACCTTTCTTTGAAACAGTTTTTGGGGGTTTTTTTGAACTATCCAAATTTTTCAAATCTACTGCCAGTCATTTTCTCATCTGACATTTTCTGGACAATCTTATTTGAAATAAATTACAGTGAAGTTCGCCATCTAGTTGCTAAGCCTTGAAGTACATCACAAATAATGATATGGGCAAGTATTTTCTACATACGAACAGATATTCTCACAATTCAGTCAGTTTTCCAACACTGGATGTCACTTCTGCAGACCCAGTATTATGGTCTCCAAATACTCAAGCCTGCCTGTTTGTATATATAGTCAATAACAGGTGCAAATATTGTTAGTTAGGTCCATATTATTAGTGGTAATTAAGTTTATAATGGAACCAACCAAGAATGGGGTCCAATTCTGATAAGACCTGCACAGACCCCAGGTAGAAGACAGCTGCTATCCCAGAAAGATTTTGCTACATTTGAAAAGCTTTCCTTGAAGTCCAGCACATGTACAAATCTCAGGGACAGGTAATAGGTGAATAAATGTGCCTGCAAAAAAGGAAGCTGAACTTAATTCAGCCAGAAAATCTGGCACCAAATGTGTACAATTCATGCACTTGAATATATAAATTTAATTAAAAACCAGAAGCTTACTTGCTTGATGTTCCATGCAAATTAGTCAATAATGTAAAGTTGTTTCTCACACTTCGTAAACTTGCCAGGACCTAAATTAAACACAAATAAATATTGTATGATTCTTATAAACATGCACTTTTTCAAAGCATGCCTTAACATGGGACAGTAGATGCCAATGTACTACCTTTCATTCACACATGTATAAATATATAGAGATATTTATACACAAGATAGCACTTTGTAGACCAAAAGAATATGTGAAATTTACCTGTGCAAAAGGTGTAACAATCAGGTCATCACCATGTCTAATAAAAAAGAAAAAAACAATTGTAAAACATTTTGCATTTTAAAGAATGCTTGTCAATATTTTAGTGCAGCACAATACATGTACACGCTCAAACTGTGCGATTTAAACATTCAAACAGAATGTAATACTTAAATATATACACAGCAGCCTCTTTGTGAAGCATTATGCCAGCCTTCGATTTGGTAGTGCAAGTTTAGCCTGTTTCCAAATGGATGCATCAACCAAAGTGGGAGTGCACCCTGTGTACCTAAACACAATACGTACATGTTCAAAATTGGGCAGCCACGTACACAGCTAACTCGGCTAGGCAAATCTGAAGGTTGGAATGAAAAACATGCCTTTCACTGCTTATGAAAAAAATATAAATATTTATACCAAATTAGGTTTAAGTTCCAAATTGGAAAAAGAATGTTTTACAAAGGAATGTTGTATCATATACCCCCATGACTGAAAACACAAATCTTTAGCACATGTACTTTGTTTGTTTAACATTATATAAAAGGTTGCCCCTAATGGAAAGGTCTTCTAGTCATAGTGTATGTTCACAGACAAAAAAACAACTCAAGCTGGAACAACTATCCAGGTTTTGGTAATACAAGGCAATAAAAGCCAGGAAATTTAAAGTTAAGGCTGCACAGTCATACTGTGATGGAAAGAAAAGCACAACAGTCTCAGTAAAGGTCAGCTTTGAATTTCCTGACTTTTGTTGATTTGTGTTACACTCCTTAATGTTATTTAAACATTGGTTTTCATCTGTGGTTTTTCATCATGGAAGATTAGAGGATATGTCCTGTGCAAAACGCATTATCTTCACTGTCTGTTTCTGGTAACTATTTATTTTATATGATCAACAAAATACATACTGAGGTTTGGGAAAGTGGGTTTTTTTGTTCAGTTGAATACTGAACACAAACTATAACATAATAAGCTTATACATGTATATACATACTTTAGTATGCAGATTGGCATTGACTGATTATACTCACTATCTGTTTTGTCAAATGTTAAGATGCATGGTTTACATGAAACAGTATTTACATAATTTGGAACTGTTACTGTCTCTTAGATAAATATTTACTAAATGCAGACAGTTGCTATACAGGCTTTCTTTGTAGGCATTTCTCATGTAGTTTGACCATCTTGCTACTGTTTATATTTCAATTCATTATAAAACATTTATGATTATTACAGTATATAAGAATTTAACACTTTAAAAGAAAAAGTTAAAATTTATGGAGACTAACTTCTATTCTTAATGTATAAATCTATCAATCACACCTTCAGAGACCTCACTTATGCTGTAGGTGTACCTGTTACAGATAACAATGAAGACATCCAAAATTCTTACTTTCTGATGTAATGGTGTTTAGATATAATTTTCAGAGCTGAATGAATACCTTCTTATCTGAATTGTTTTAGAAATGTAATTAAAAGACACAATCATTTTCTAATTTGTTGAATAAAAGTAGTTCCTAAGATCAGCATATTTTTTCCAGTGATACCTGGAAGTACTACCAAGGACCCTTAAAATGTTTATAAAAGTTCTATAAGCTTCAGTTCAAACACTACAGAAATTCTGAGAGACCCTTCATACTCATTCAAAATGAAAATAGCATATGTTAGCTTTTTCCAATTTTAATGCCAACCCATTTTTAAACACAAGACCATTTGGTATGTCACCATGTATCACAATGGGCAACTAGTGATGTGACACAGATACCATCCATTTAAGGTCAGCAGACTGAATTTGGCCATCAGTAACTGCTATTGGATGGCTGCATCTTTGGGCAATGAAATGAAGCCATGTCCTACGTAAGAATTCTCACCACAGAAAACACCCTTAGGGCTGGTGCTAACCGGCACTACCAGTGGTAGTGTCTGAGATGAGGCTAAGAAACAGTTAGACTTGAAAAATTAAATAGTCTCCAGTACATGAAATGACAGGAAATGAGCAGAGCAGCATGAAACTAAAGTTACTCCTATTGGCTACATACAGATATTTGGGGAGGTTAGAGTGCATTAAAAATGGCGACCCAATCTAACTTAGTTCACCCAGGTGCAGACCTTAGACTAGTTAGGTGTTTCTCCAAGTAAACTGTACAGAAGTTCAGGAAATTTAGATGGGTCTTAAATGGTTGACCCACGTTAATTTAAGTGTACCTCTGCGGTAGTTTAACTTAGCTCAGGTTTCGCGAGACTGATTTAAATGAACTTCTGTACAGTTCCCAGAGTAGATCCAGGGCTTCGAAAGCCCAGCCTCTGGCCTGCACCCTATGGCTGTGAGCTTTTCCTACCCTCTCCCTAGCACCAAGCTATTTTTAGCCCCCCTCCAGCCTCTTCCCCCCCCACCCCCAGACAGACAACCCCACACTGTGACCCCGCAAGCAACCCCCCAGCCTGCCCCCCCCTCCCCCCCTCCCGCAAGCTCCC